CCTAATATACATACGACAGAACATTTAAATATACCTTGTCTCTCTGCTTAGATACCATTACATGTTTTAAAATCTTTCTCTTCTCTTAAGATAATTTTTGAACTTCAGTTTCATTAGCATTTTACTCTCTAATTCTAACCTTACGTATTCTGTTTATTAATCATATCTAACTTTCACTGCATTCTTCTACTAATTACTTTATCATGTGCTCGCTAATGACTAGCCTCAAGATGGTTTCCCTGAATTTCTGGTTAGAAGCCGTGACCAGCAGAGTTCAATCCGTGTCGTGTGAGACACTTACCCACCTCAGACAATGGATGAAGCCTTGTGCAAGATCATGAATAGATTGAAGCTAGACATTAACACCGTTAGATATCGGTCCAAAAGTAATAATATTATAAAGTCTATATATGGGACAGTATATAGGGGGATATGTAAAGGGTTACAAGTTATCTTACATAGAAACGCGCTTTGAGTCATATTTGCACCTGGAGCAAGGCTGGTGATCATTTGATCCTCGAAGATTTCAATAAGCTACACGTCGTTCCCCTGGATGCTGCTACCTTAAATTGATGTGCCAGTGCTAACTCTCTGTAAATTAGTAATTGTCGTTTCCGTGTAGAGTGTATCATACGACCAAACAAGGTATGTTTCAACGCTTCATGTCTTTTGGCAACAACTCTAATCACTTGATTTCGCAACACTTAAACTTCAGTAATGCGTAGTCATGAACAAATGCTAAATGTCTATTGCTAAAACGCATACTGATTGCGTACGGTAGCAACTGAAAGCCATGCTTGCCCTTAACCTGTGCTTTTTATGTAACAAAAGGAAAACAAGACGATGTAGTGGAATCACTTCAATACAGTCATTTAAGAACTGAGGTACATTAGGTGTATCAGAATAGAAACAAGTTGAAAGTTTATCAAGTTCCTTCATTAAGATCTAAGCACAGAATACTGTTAGTAACACAACCCATAATCGAACTTATTAGATATCAGGCACGATACGAGTAAAAATAACAGAAGAACCCATTTTCATGTTGGTTAGCAGCATAATACCTGGTAAAACACGAAGTCTTGATGGTTGATATCTACGACGACCTTTCATTCTTATTCGCATGGAATTGCATTATCTGCCGACTTCGATGTAACACGATCTTCAGAATAAATGTCTCACATCGGCCAACCTACTAGAGATAAAAGAGCGGCCCAAAATAGCGGTTAACTTTATGACGAAATATTCATAGGTTTCACATGGCCATTTTATAGTGTCTTAGTCAGAGTTAATGAGTTTTTCATTATATCTTAACAACACTACTCAAGTCCTCCATACTCTTCATCACAAATGTCAATGTCTGAATAACAATAAGTAGTAAGACTGATCATCACGACCTGCAAGCTGGTTAAGACGTTGTATTTTGATGGTCTAAAAATTCGAACCTAGACGCCGACTCGAATAACAGTGGTATTACACACTTAAAATATGGTAACAGACACCAGTGTATAACGGATGGAACACCACTTCCTTAAATACGGAAACGGAATTATCTTGAACTGTAGTTCCTATCTCAAAAATAACTTCCTATGTCAATTGATCCGTTCCCAAAGTCTACATGTATTTCGGTCACGTTTTAGAGATCTTAAATTCTTTTGTTTAGATATGTTTTGCATATTGAGGACGAACAGTATGTGACCAAACCTGGAATCTTGCGTCAGAAAAATAAGTCGATAACTTACTAGAGATCCCGGAAAAAATAGGCGTATTTAACGTGCGAGGACTATGTTGTGAACGTGTTTCATAAACTTCCGTACGCTCAAACCTTCTTCACTTATTTTATCGTAGGAAAAGCGCTGAGTTCATATTGTTACATAGTATTTCAAACAATGACTTGAGTGTCACCACATATTGTCTTTTGGATTTCTTTAATAACAGCGAACTCTGTGGCCATTAAAAACAGCTTAAGAAGCTTTAGTTGAATAAAAATCCACTGAGATTTCTTATTGTCGAGTGATCACCAACAGGACCTTTCAACCAGAGATGTGTTATCAAGTTCATCGGTGAATCATTTCAATCAGAATCTAGATCTCCAACGGAAACGAGATACCAAAATACATAAGCCAAACGACTGAACTGGCCTCCTTATTACTAGATACTGAAAAAATATGCTTACTGCTTATCCAAGTATAGCAGCTAGTTCGTCTGCACAAAAAATAGCAGCCATCAACCCATATCAATGCATGAAAACATGTATTCATACTTAATTCGACTTCTCGGATCCCAAAGCGGACAAAAATGAGAGTTCATATATTGCAAAATTGTCTAGACTAAACTTGTTTGCTCGCATTATCTAAAGATCTTTCCTCAAGGTTACTTATGTTGCGGCTTCGACTAACTCATTATTCGCGTTGCTCATACTTCACGAGTTCTTTCACTTATATTAGCAAAGAACTGTTCCATCCTGACCATTTGCACGTAAAAGCGATAACAAACCTACTTATTGGTGTTCATGATAATCTAGGATTGCCATGGGGACTGACAATTGCAACCACTGCTATCCTAGTACGAACAGTTGTAGCCGTTCCATTGTATATCTACGCTGAGAGGAACCAAGCTAAAGTTTCACACATTGCCATTGAATGTCAACAAAACCGACAGATGATGCAAGCGAAACTTAGTAATTCTGAGTGTTATCGTAATTTGAGTAATAAGAGAAAATTAGTGCTTGAAAATCAACTGGTAGGGTTCTTTGAATAAATACATACTTCAAGTTCAGACGTGTCTTCATTAAAACATGCGAAAAAAATGGATGTCACCCATTGAAATCGTCAGTTACAGGAATAATCCAAATCCCATTGTGGCTCACATTCACATTCTCCATCAGATACTTGAGTGGATTCCAACTGTATCCGCAATCCGATTCCAATAATCGTAAGTCTCGTGACTTATTGGTCTTTAACAATTTGTCACTTGTGTACTCAAAAACATCCTCATCTTAAAATATGTGGGAGCACAATGTGCTATTCCCAGTACGTCTCACGCGCTAGATATGACGTTTTATAAATCAAGATTATTTTACGAAGAACGTTCATCAACCACAAATTTGTGTTTGATTTAAACCTTTCTCAGAGCCATTTCTTCTAGGATACTATAAAAGCAAGGATTCCTCTACGCACTAAAAGTTTTCTAAGCATGTTACATTGTATAAGGAAGTAATATTTCAGCAAACGCAATACATGCAAACTTCGGCAGTTGTTATCGATCGTATCCCAAAGATTAGGCATAACGAGTTCTCAGCATCCCATAATTACCTGGTTTGCAACCATTGTTGGTAAAAGTACGGACCAGCATTTAATAACAGGCTGTGTTCTCGAAAAAATTTAAGATATGTATCAATGCTTCAATTCCTAGTTCCAAGTTACATATGAATGTTTATCACCATATGTTTGTGGTTCAGTGAAGTAAGAATCATAAGTTTACCTATAAAGCCATCTACTTGTGAGTTAGTCTCAAAAAGGCTCGTCAGTTTACTGTCACACGGTCCCTGTTACATAGAGCAATGCCCAGTGTAGCTATACGATCTCACCAGATAGTTATTAAAATTTCTATGATATTGGCAACGATTTTAATTTGCATCAGGCCACTGTTCTCGCTTCTGTCAGTTATTAATAGTTGTATTCTTAAGGTTGCTCGTGATTCAATTCTCCATCGTTGGTAAAAAGGCAAACCAATATAGCAGCGCAGGTTTACATCTCCAAAAATAAGATCACTCGTAAAAGTAAGACAAAACATCCAGACTACAAAATCAAGTGAATAAGTTTTGTTCCGACTGATTTTCTAATGGTGTTTTTTATTTCACTTAACAGTGATTGCCGATCCGTCTCTCAACGTTCCATGCTCAAGTTTCCTGCTTCCCTCCATATGTACGTTAGCCGGATTGGCAAATGTAGAACTGGCGTGTTTAAGACGACCTCTGTTCTTCAATCCGAAATCTAATTCTGTAATACCAGATCCTTTACCTTATAATGCTGTGCGGTTTTTTGGTTGGGTTGGAAATCTCGCTCTTTTCGCGTGTTGCAGCTTTTTTCCAAAGTAGGTTGGTTACATTGTGTTAATATCCTAGGCATTTGTGATTTATTGGTGTACATCTTCAATTCACCAACTATGTACACATCTTTTGATAATGCACCCTTGTTTACGAAGACTGCTTGGTTTATGGACCATACCCCATGAAGGACATTATCCGTATAAAGTTCTACTTAACTCGATGTATCATCGCTATAACATATCAAAATGGTTGCAAAATAAAAAGTCATAAGTAACGATTAATTACAAGTTTTTATTATTTGTGTCGCAAGTAGCTGGCTATACACTTCTGACTAACTTATTTTTATGTATTATTCACTAGTACTCCTAAAAGTGGTACCAGGAATCACAAGATAAATAAAACATACGTATAGAAAATAATTTCGTTGAAATTTTCATCTCCAAACTGAAGAAAACATGCTAATAATGCTGAGATAGCTGTAAAAGTTAGACGTAATAAAAGGATTGTCATAAAACTTGTTGGTCTGATTGTAAACTGACTGAAACTTCGTATAACATCACATAATCCAAATTAAAGTGGCATCTAGTTATATCTACCAGATGTCTATTAGTTGGTGACGAATTGAATCACCAAGATAAAAGAATAGAATAACCTAGAAAAGCAGGTCAGAAATGTTTAATCAAAATTAGTGCTATAGCCAGTGAATACGCTGGCATCTTCAATGAACCACTGCGATGAGTTTACGGAATAACTTAGTTGTAAAGGCTCTATTCCCATAACAATGAAGTGTGAGGAAACCAATTTTAATGGACATGGGTAGTAATACCATAAAAGATACAATGATAAGTGATGCGGCACATGCTACTGAGAAAATTTCGAAGAAATAGACAAAAACCTATTGTATATACATTTCTCTCAAAGCGAGTCGAAGAATCTATTAAAGCACGACGAGATTTGTTCGAAAACTGCCTCAGTTCCTCCATAAGATCAAGGTTAGCAGAGTTACTAAGAATATGTAGATCAGGAACTACTGTCTAATAAAGTGGAGATCTCCGTCTGATGAGTGGAAAGTAGTTGAATTCAGACTAATTTGAACGTCACCTCAAATCAGACTTGCTATATCGTACTGCTTACAAATTATTTATAGCATGGTGTGATCAAGGTTACCATCTGCTGCGATCCGTTTATCTACGTCACTGTTTAATTAGTTTATGGACAGCTTAAAACTATAAACCGAAACGTTAAATGTCTGCCTATTACCTATTTCCAACTTTGAAATAATTAAAAACTACCGTCAGCTATTTCAATAATGGTATATTGTTGAAAAACACTTAAAAACAAAACTGTACATTTCTCCTTCCATTTTACAGTCCAGATGTGTTAAATTAATTCTCCACACCGAGAAATAATAACGGGTTCTTTGACCTTACCAGATTTCGATCCAACGGACTACAAAACCATTTAAAAATTTATTTAGTACAATATGGAAATCGAACATGTTATACAGTAACTTTTTAAAAAGGCGTGTTACCAAGCAATTGAATCGCATGCAGAAATGGAGACCATTTCCAAATAAATTACAGGAAACATCCGCAGTACAGTACAGTGAGAACTGATAAATATCCTTTTTGTTGATACAGTAAAACTATTCTATACACCATAAATCTGACGCAGTAGATATATATGGTAGCCTAACATTAAGCGGCTAGTAATGAAAAAGAAATGTATCAACGACAAATGCAACTAACATTTTTGGGAATATTTTAAGCGTGTTAGTGCATTTGAATTTCTTACTTCATCCAAACGGTGCCTGAAACTCATTACCAACATTATATAAATTATGTCAATAATTGTTAAGGAGATAAGAACTAACCTCCATCTTTTTTACGACATTTTGTCCATCCACTACTCGACCAAAAACAACATGTTTGCCATCAAGCCTATAAAAAGACGTTTAAATAATTTAATAAGTGTCTGAGACCGTTTGTACATTTAGAAACAGGAAATTTTGAGTCAGTAAAAATAGGTTTTGTTGTTGAGTTTTTATGAATATTCATTTAATTGTCGGGAAGTTCGAAATCGAGAGAATACTAAGATCGTTTTGAAATGTTGATAATTTGGGGCCATATTACTCTGGATAACATCCTTCAACTTGAGGTTCGTGAGAAGGAAGATATTAAACGTCTACTTTAGGTAAATAAAATTTCGTAGCATGAAGCTATAAAGTTATTTGGTGTATGAAAACCATATCAATAATTCTGTGGCTGCACGTTGGATGTAGTAAAATCGTTCTAAAACGTCAGCCCCAGGTTTTCCTGTATGCTTTATGAATGACCTCCTTGCAATCCCTTTACTGAGGCATCCTAACGCCATGATAGAATGAAAGTTAGTTTACGACTTGGAATTTTCTTGGTTAGCATCTCTTTGCACAGGACTAATAACAGTATCTTAAAATCTACAAACCCAAATGGTTTGAGATGTAGTTTCAAGTGCATTTTCTGTTTGTGTTTCAAATGACTAGTAACAATTAAGTTATATCGCTCGATATATAACAAACATCACTTCACAGTGCTGTTTTTTCGCTTTGGCAATAGGGCATGTATATATTTCTGGTACTTCTTAGATTACCACATACCACTTACGAGTCATACTTAATACAAATATATAATAGAACAAATCTACTTTTTAATTATCTCCAATGGAATCATTTTTAACAAACAACACAGGCTAAGAAGCCACATTAGAAAAACGATGTCACTCCAGCTGATTATGGAGAATGAGGATATGAATGAGGCTCGTCGATATATATGAAAGCTTACCAATCGCATTTTGTTGTGCAAATGAAGAACTGAGATCCATTTGTATTTGGTCCAGAATTCGCCATGGAAAGAACACCTAAGAGAAATAATGTAACTGATGTGAGACAAGCAATAAAGCCCATCTAAAATCACCACATTAGCACAGAGATACAACCAGGTAGTCTACACCTACCAACATGACTCAGTCCACTTGTCAGTGACTTCATGGACTTGTGCCATGTTTTGTCTGGCTGCCCTTAGCTTTCTTCCAACCTACTCCCATACCACTGAACATCGCACGTCGGGGCAGTCGGTGGTTGGCCATACGTAACACGTCACAGCCATCTCAACTGATGAAGTCTCACTACGTCATCAATTGATTCGCCATCCTTACCTAGTACCCGTTTCCTAACAACTGCGTTACTTACTCGATAGTTCCAGGATATACGAGCAATATTTCGAAGACACCTATGATCAAATACTAGTAACCTACGGATATCCTCTACTTTTACTGGCCATGCTTCACTGCCATAAAGTAGGACGGAACGAACTGCTACGCAGTAAACACGTCCTTTGGTTGATAGACGGATATCTTGCCCACGCTATGAATGACGCAAGTTGGTAAAAGGTAGTCGAGCCTTCTGTATCCGTGCTGAGATTTCGTCACACACCAGACCACAAGGGCTGACGAGACTTCCAAGATAAGTGAAGCGATCGACACGCTCAATTACTTCACTCCCTATCATTAGTTCGAGTGTCGATGCAATTTAGATGAGGAAAGTGTTATCACTAAAAGCATGTCTACGATAAAGTTAAACAAGAATGGAGAGAGTGGACAGCCCTGACGAACACCACTTGAGATAATCAATTCTGATGACAGTTCTCCATAAGCTTTCACTCTACCAGTTGTGTTCGAGTAGAGAGCCTATACAAGGTTAATGTACTTCTTTGGTACTCCTTTCAGTGACAAACACTGCCATAGAACCTCACGATCAACGGAGTCGAATGCTGCCTTAAGGTCGAGAAATACTACCATTGTGGGGCATCTGAATGTGTGTCTGTGTTCTAGAACCTGACGTAGTGTGAATATCTGCTCTATACAACCACGTCCAGGTCGAAAACCAGCCTGACTTTCTCTAGTCTGCTCTTCACGAGCTTTAGTTAGGCGTCGTAGAATTATTGAATCTAATATTTTAGACACTATATTAGTCAAACTGATTCCTCTGTGATTGTCACAAGAGGACTTTTGTCCTTTCTTATAGACTGGCACAATCAGTGATTGAGACCAGTCAGATGGGATTACGTCCAGTTCCCAAATTCTACCTAAGACCTCAGTTAATCTCACTGCTAATACTGGACCACCATCCTTAAAAATCTCAGGAGTAAACCTGTCAGGGCCTGCTGCTCTCCCTCGCTTCAGATTTCCTATAGCTTTTTCAGCTTCGTAAAGAGTCGAAGGACCTACATCAACTTGCCATTCAGGTAGACTGGAGATCGTGGGAAACCAAAGTGTGGCTGAAGGCCACACTGATCCCTAAAGTGTTCTGCCCACCGATCCAATCTCCTGGATCGAGAATGTATAATATGTCCGAGAGATGGTGCAACACAGTGGCTAGAGACGTTATCAGATATGGCTCAAAATAGAAGCCAGTGGTGATCGTGCTGTAAGCTTATTTTACTTTCTTCATAAAAAGTGGTTGTAACTTCCTAAACTGAAAGAATTCTTTCTGGTTGTACCTTTCCGTTTCCTCCATTATTATTATTGTTATTTCACTTCCATACACTAACCTGTGGTCGTTATTGTTCTGTCTATGTTTTTCTTATACGCACCTTACATTCTTTTTCGCTTCACATTTTTATTGTTTTGTGTGGCGCATATATATCTGGTGCCCCCTTGTACCAATATTTATGTGTTCAAATAAAAAGGCAAACCAAGATATGGTATCAATACGCAAAGTACATGCCAGGTAATATTATCTAATATATGTAAATAAACTGGGCAGATGATTATTAGACTCGTATTTCATTATGAACAACATACAAACCAAAAACAGATGATTTAGTTGATGTCAAAACCTTATATGAGTTAGATTAGAGAAGCGTTTATCAACAGTTCTACATTTTTTATATTGAACATTTTAAAAAAGGTAGGAACACATTAATAGGACCAAAAGATAAACACACTCACCGAACCCTTCATGTCGGAGTTGGAAGTTCTCATCATCGAATTTACGTCCATATATTGATTTGCCACCGGTCCCATCCCCTTTTACAAAATCGCCTCCTTGACACATCTGATAAGACACGCATTATCAAGGATATAGTATAAAATCTGAAATACTTGATTCATTTAGAGGTGAATAAATTGAAACAAAACAATCAACTAATGGGTTTTGATGTTGATGAATAACGATGTTGAAAAGCAACCTTAATATGGGCTTGCGTTGAAAACAAAGGCTACCTACCATACTACGATCTAAAGTCTGAGGCATTTGAACTAAGAGACTTTACTGTCAACTAAGAATTAGTTTTCCCCAAGTTTCTTCAACTTTACACATTAATGTCGATAATATGCAAGATGTCTAGATTTATCTCACATCAACAGCTGTTCGGCTAAGTCTCCAGCCTGATCGTTTTACATAAATATCTGTCAATTTCCTTTAAGAATGCGAAAATTACGCAAAAGTATTTAAATACATTAGGTCATGGATACGAATTGTGGTATAACTCGATGGAAACAACAATTGTGATAACCGAATCCACGTTCTCCTGTACACAAGGCACGGAAGTTCTCAGCAGTTCTCGGGACAATATCTGACCGAAGCTCCATCACTATACGACCAGCATCTCCGTTTCCAATTCGAATATCGAAGAATACCCGAGGAAGATTTCGTTTTTGTTTTTTGGTTCGCATTTCTTCGTCACTCTGTGAAAATTGAGTACATAAGTAAAGGTAAAATTGGAATACACGTTAAACTGTAATGATATGCAAAAATACTTGTAGTAGTATCATAATAGTTCTAAAATATAACAGTGCTTGAATTAATTAGAAACAAACACTAAGTAGGAAAAAGGACTGAAACTTAGATAACTGTCAACCTTTTATGCAGACAGAATGGTGATTTTCTCCAAGTCATCTAAAATGTAAGAAGCTACATGCGTGGAAAGAATCAATATGATATAATAGCACGTATTTTAATTTTTTTCCTAGTAATTGTGCCACCTAATGAAAACTGACTTTAGAACTATATTCGATAATTTTGATGTTTGATTATAATTTCTTGAAAAAGCTTGGACCAGATTGCCAGGTGAAACGTTGGATTTACTCCAAACCCATTCACTGAGATTTTAAAAATACATTCTTCCTCTTTAATGTCTCACATCAACTCGGCGCCCAAATATTGTGAAACTATTTGATCAAACCTATACGAAAGTTCTTATAAAAAACCAAGAACGGTTTGGAAAATTGTCTTAGTTATTAAAATAATCCAACATTTTTACTGGAGATCATTTTCGAGAAAATCGAAAAGATCGTCAAGCGTTATACTGATGTGATAAATTACCAATGAATCATATTGGTTAACAGTACATATTCATCATTGCACTTGTGTTATTAAGCACACCAATCCATACGAAAAGCCTTGAAAAAAAATAACAATACTCTATTGATCAGCTTACTCTGTAAGAAAAAACCTAAAGTTCGGAAACCAAATATGTTGATTACATACAATATTACAAGTAATAATATCCTAATCAACATGGTTGGAGTGAACATTTTCAATTCTTACTTGTGTTTACCAAGTAAAATTACTCAGTAAACAGAGTAGAGTGGAAAATTTTGAAATATGATTCGTGGATACTTAACACCACGTATTGGTTAAATCAAACTTATTAGAAGGCTTCACAGACTCCGATCATACTTAGAAACCGTTCAATAAACTTAAAAAGCATTAATATATATTCGTTATATATATATATATATATATATATATATATATATATATATATATATATATATATATATATATTTGTAAATATGGTACTGGATTTCAATTGCTTTGTGAATGACGGATGAAGAATATAGTTAGCGCGTTTGTGCTGTTGCGAAGTGTAGCATTTCGAACTAATGATATGTCTATGAGATTTTCCATGCGTAGATTACATCATAAACAATTTAATTAACTTTTTTTAAAACTTACCAAGTCTTCAACATTTTCTGCAGAATCTGATGGGTTGACGATATCAGGTTCATCCAGTTTTCGTCCTTCTAATGGAGCACTGCCATATTTCTTTAACCAATTCTCGTCCGACCAGACTTAAAATGTGAATTTCAATATAGAAATATTTAGGGAACATTTTAAACTTACAGTTTTATTGAAATCATAATCTATGGGGATATTTATATATAAATTTTACTAAACATTGGAGAGTCAGCTCTCCCTCTCGAAATGCCCTCACATGGGCCAAGCGCATACAGTCACTGCTAGGGAAGTTCTACTGACTAATTGATCGCGGCAGGATTGTAGTTTACGAAATAAAGAGAACGAAAAACGAATGTCCGGTGCTTTAACCGGGTTGATGGGTACGGAGATCCACTCAGAACAGATGACAAACCCTGATTCCAAACCAGTGGTGCACATGGGCTCCAGGATACTGAGGGAACAAATGGTGTATGAGCCTATTGTTCGTCACCGACCACCATGGGGCTGCATCTCCTAACGTTGCTCCACTACCTAGTGGATCAGACCTTCAGGTCAAATGTTCGAATGCGGCCCCCTAATAAGACCATCTGTTTCGGTTTGGGCACCCAGGTAGTATCACAGCCCTTACACAAACCAATGATAACTACACCTGGAAAGTTTCCTCTTACTTCAACGCTCATACAAATCTGAACATTCAAATGATAAAATTCGTTTATATTTCTTATGTACCACACACTAATGCACATCGGACAACAGATAGGATTGGTTAAGTTTTAGAGACTATTAATTTCCATATATATGTTACCTATCAGAGACTCGTATTCAATACTCTAGTGAAGTACCACAAACCCATTCTCCATCTGTCGTTTCGAAAAGCGTATTTCTCATATGTTTGCCCGGGGACCCTGTGGCATTTTCGTCTGGTCTTGCTGGTGTTGGTGTCGCTGAGGCAGCACTAATCAATTGGACCCCCATTAACAGTTGGTCATGTGCTGTTACACCACAAAGTTTCATTAAAGTGCGAAGAAATTGGTGTGAGAAACGATGTCTTTTCGTCAGCTCCGCCTACGCTCCGACAGATTGCAGCCTGGATGCAATCAAGGGTGAATTCCACTACCAGTTAACTGTTCTTCTCCAGAAAGTGCGTTCGACAGATATTGTAGTACTAGTCAGAGACTTGAATGCTCAGGTCGGGCGTCTAGGCACAGAAGAGAGTCGTTTAGGTGGCCGATGGGGAATTGTTGGTCGCAGGACAGATGACGGGGACCGTCTACTGCAACTGTGCACAGACCACAACCTGTTTCTGGCTAGCACTAACTTGTGACACAGTCATCGCCGATGTACCACCTGGCGTGGTTGTGTACAAGACTGCCGCTCCTTTTGGAGTATCTATTTGAACTCTGATCATGCCCTGGTCTGTGCCAATCTCACTTTACTTTTCAGTGGACGACGAAGTGACCTCCATCAACGGATTGATGTCAGCAAGTTGATTGCGGCTTATGTTGCAACTATATATCAAACCGAGCTAGGTCCAAGGTTAGCTACCATACCATCAGAAAGTATAGATGAGCACTGGTTGCAATCGCATGACGCCATGAAAATGGCGATTTAAGTCGCTTGTGAATTCGCGAAATTTCACCCTTATAAGCACTGGGTTCCTTCAGGCTCCTTACAACTCACTGAATCCCGACGGTATACTCCGAGTGACCTTGAAATTGACCATGAACGAAGACTGTTACGCAATTAAATTAGGCAAAGCTTGCGTAAGGATCGAGAAGCCTGATGGTCGGAGAGTGACAATTAGTTGGGAGCAGCAGCTGCATCTGGTAACTACCGGAAACTCTTCCAACTCATCCGAGCCACTGGCAGCAAGAAGTCTGGTGTGAGCGAAACAATCTGTGAAGATGACGGGATGCCAATCACTAGCATCCACCGACGTCCTGGACGATGAGCAGAGTTTTTCGAGAGACAGTTCAGCTGATCTGTTGCTGCGGCAAAATCGATCAAACTGCCCTGCTCTCCATACCCTGTGACGACTAATCCACCTAACAAGGCGGGAGTCCTAAAGGAACCCCAAATCTTGGAGCGCTACAAATCATCAGGTTCAGATGACTAACCTCCTGCCCTATTTTAAAGATGATAGTGACTTTCTGGTTAAGGAACTGCAACGTTGTTTACAAAGGTCTGGGAGCTAGAGAGTGTCCCAACATCATGGAATGAGTCGATAGTTGTCCCTATCTTTAAAAAGGGTTCACGTCTTTCCTGTATTAACTATCGGGGATAAGTCTACTTCCGATTGCGTCCAAGCTATTGGCTTCCGTCACACTTCGTAGGTTGTTCAAAAGCCGAGAAAGATTGACTCGCGAGGAGCAGGCTGGTTTTCGTTCTGGTCGAGGATGTATTGATCATATCTTCACCCTCCGCCAAATGTTAGAACACCGTCATACTTATCACAGGCCAACAATCATAATGTTTCTTGACATTAGGACTGCCTATGAAGCCTAGCGTCTCCGAGTTGAAGATGTTAGACAACTCTGTGCTCGATCATCGTTTTCTCCGAAGTATTGCTGACATCCAGTGGCAACACTATGTTAGTAATGCAGAGGTTCGGCACCGTGTGTTCGGGCACAGAGATGATAATGCAATTGGTGTCACCATCCTGAAACACCGACTTCGGTGGCTTGGACATGTTCTACGAATGTCGTCCAGAAGAATTCCACGTCGCGCATTATTTGCCGACGCTGGGACTGGTTAGAAAAAGCGGAGAGGCGGTCAGTGGATGACATGGTGTTGTGGTATGAAAGAAAGCTGCAAAGGACTGGCTTGTGTTGGTCCTTCACGACTCCCTGGCTGGGGTCTGAGAGATGGTGCAACACGGTGGCTAGAGACGTTATCAGATATGGCTGAGAATAGAAGCCAGTGGCGATCCTGCTGTAACCTTCTTTTACTTTTTTCATAAAAGTAAACGTCTTTTCTTTAATTGAACGAATTCTTCCTGGATATGTGTTTGCTAACTGAACTGTTTCTCCTATTATTATCATTATTTCACTCTCATACACTAATTTGTATTCGTTGTAGTTCTTTTATTATACTTACTTTGCATTCTCTATCTCTTCACAACCTCGTTGTTATTGTGTGGCACATATGTAATTGCTGCCCCATTGGACCGATGTTTATGTGTTCAAATAAATAAATAAATACACAGTATAGGCTTGAGACAGTGTGATCAACTTGTAGCAATTTTATCACACCAAGAAACAGTAATGTCTGACGAGGTGAAATTATTTGAGAGCGACCGTTCCCGTATGAATAAATAAGATTAATAACTGAAACATTCAATACTCTAACACCTTGAAGAAAGTTAGTTATAGACGTAGAAATCAACAAATGTTATGCCAGAATTTACCAACTGTTACACAAAAGGTTGGCAATTTAAACTAAGTCATTGGAGACGTAACAATATAAAGGTATAATACGAACAAGCTACACATAACTGGAAGTACACTATATGGCTGACTGATTGTCTAAATAAAATGTGATTTAAATTATCTTGAATTTGAATAGTCTCAAAAATTTCGCATCATGACAATAATAAATAATTGAAAACAAAACATTACCAGGTCGACTCCAACCCTCCCGTATGCGTACTGGTCTTGCCACATTAACACGGATGGTACGCCCAAATATTTCACTTTCATTCTATAAGAAAGATTGAGAAGACATTAGAATGGTTTCACCAAATAGCAGTTTATCTCTTTGATAGGAAATCAAGTAAAAATACAATAGTAATAAGCCAATCAAAATATTCAAAGACAAACGACTTTTACCTGATATCACAATCAACAGAAGTACCTTTGTGCAATGCACAAAATGATAACGAATATTGTTCCTCACTATAAATTAAATACGATAGCGTTAAACAAATTAAGTGCTCAATTATTCCTATGTTGACTGCATTTAACAGGCGGATCAACACTCTTCTTAAATTGAAGTCCTTATCCTTAAATTCCGAATCGTAATCTTCTAACTCGAACAACAATTACCTGACCTCAAATTTCCAACTCTAACCCTTAACAGTGAAGGGCTCGTGAGAATCTATTTGTCCTTATAAGGGTTTGAGAAGATGAATAATCCATATCAGCAAGGATGGCTTTACGATGCTTCTTTAACTTACAAACAGAAAAACTAATAGGTTTACTAATCATACAAAAATTTGTTTAATTCGTGTAATATTGCTGTCAACTTCCCATAAACTCTGTTGTTTTTGGGTTGACTGACAACTGGTTATAGTTCGTAACAGTTGTTTTGAGCTCATCACCAATATTATAGTTATATCAAAAATTTACAATAAACCCATAGAGGGTTCAGAATATTGTGTTCGAATCCCATAAGAAAGAAGAAACGACATTATTTCGTTGTTTAGCAACCTAAGCTGGACGGCTTCGCGAATGTCTTGTAAGATGCCACTACGACAAACAAAAGTTTCATCCCTTCTGTTTTTAAGGTGTTGGATACGGTCACTAAAACTGATAAATACTTCCTTACACATGACCTCAAAGTACTTCTCTTGTAGCGAGAGAAAACGATGTGTTTAAATTATCTGATGAACCCCAGTCGACTGAAATGATCAAGGCATTATACTTCAGTGAGGTGCTGATAGTTATTTGTTTGGACGGCATTAGTGTCAAGCATAAAATGTGTCCGAAACATCGCATCTGATATTTTTGAGACTTTATCACGCCCAAAGATACATTGTGAAACCTCAGTATAGCACGAGTAGATATCTCTGGAGACCAGTCAGTAGTTGAAAAACAATATATTACTGCACTAGTTTTATGTATTGAGCGAATTACACATTTAATAAGAAAGATTAGTTCAGCGAAGAGTTCTCTTTTCGGCGAATTCATTTTCAAAGCTGTACAATCGCAAATATATATGCTTATTTTTACAGGGTGATAATAATACTGATAATAAACTTATGTTATACATAGTGACGGTGAGGTTAAATAAACAAAGGTATTAGAAAAAAAAAATTTTTTAAACAAGGAAAGTTTGATAGTTAATGGCTTAGATATTCATCGGGTAAGGGTAGCTCAGCATGATAAAATAACATAAAATGTTGAAACAGAGATGAAATGTAATCGGAATGATCGTGGAAATGAAAACAAACCGGTTGGGGGTACAAGATTTGAAGGGGAGATGGAAGGTGAAGCAGGTGGCTGTAAAAGAACAAGAGTATGAAGAAAGAGAAAAATTTTATTAATACCTTAAGACCATGGTAAAAGAAGAGGTTGTACCAGTCTCTTTTGTACACATAATTCTGGTTTTTCAAAATGTATGGCTATTGCCTCGGCGATGCAAAGAAGATGCAGACTAATTGTCTTAGGAAGGCTTCTACTTACCTTGTAGATGACTTTGAACGCAGAGTCTGTCTTGATTGAGTGACCTGTGTTCACAAGGTGTTCGATTATAGAACTTCTTATTGAGCCTCTGCCTCCTCTTCTTAGCCAAGCCGGACAATGTTCTTGAATTCTTTTGGATAAAGTACGCATCGAACGACCTGTATACCTAGCTCCACAGGAGCAGGTAAATTGGTAAATGCACATTGAGTTGGTCAGATGCGATAATTTATCTTTCAGATTATTGGTGAACAGTGATCGGCTGGAGAATAATATTCGCAATGTTGCTGCGAAGAATGTTCTTTTTAAAGAATCAGAAATTCTCCTCTTTAAGATATATGCGGCTCTATCACCTTTGAAGTCGATGTTCATGTATAAAATTTTCTTTTCTACTGCAATTGTTTGTGGTTTCGGCATTTTCGGTTTCATGTTCTTATCAATGAATATAGAAAGATATCCGTTTCTGATAAGTATCTCTTTTAAAAAACTCAATTCTTCCTCTAATCTTTCTTTCTTATTTAATGTCATAATGGGTGTATTCCGTTTATTAAAAAATTACACATTTGGCAAATAAAAAAATCCTCCACAATAATAATATGAGTCGACACAAAATTTACGTAATTGCAGTTGATATCATGTTAGCTAAATAAAGTATATCTCCTACGATAGTTCCCTTAAGTTGGTCGGACTAAATTTTCCACCTCACCAATATTATCTGCAGGTTAGAATTTAAGAAAGTCTAATAAAATCGGAAATTCAAATCGGGATTTCGATTAATGTACGTGTCTGCACCATAAGTGATGATAAACCACCATAAATAACAAGGCAAGACTTTTTCGCATCATTATTAAGTTTGGTTGATGAACATTGATAATAAGAAAGTATACCTATGACTATGACATCCCGAACACACACGTTGAGTTGAGAACATGAAATTCAACGTAGAAGAACCAAAACACTTCAGACTGTACAACCAATATCCGCTTCGTAACTGTTATCCATTAATCAGTAGAAACTTCACAGTGCCCAGCTTAATACATAGTCCAAATTAAGCTACTGAATGTTAATTTAAGTCATTTTAGTAAACGTGGATACAACTAGTAGAGTTTGTGAGGAGTGTTATAAACACTAGTGAATATGCACTCCTGTTTTGCCAAAACCCCACACCAAATTACACTGGTTTTACAACGTTGGCTCTCCGTCAAATGTTTGGTCATACTACTTTTACCTTGAAGTATACTATCTGAAGATTTTTATTTTATTTTATTTGAACACATAAATATTGGTACAAGAGGGCACCAAATATATATGCGCAACAAAAAACAATGGGAATTCGAAGAGGAAAAAAAACAATAACGAACAGATTAGTGTAAGGTAGTGTAATAATAATAGTAATAATGGGGGAAACGGAAATGTACAACCAGAAAGAATTCTTTCAATTAAAGAAGATACAACCACTTTTTATGAAGAAAGTAAAAGAAGGTTACAGCAGGATCGCCACTGGCTTCTATTCTCAGCCATATCTGATAACGTCTCTAGCCACCGTGTTGCACCATCTCTCAGACCCCAGCCAGGGAGTCGTGAAGGACCAACACAAGCCAGTCCTTTGCAGCTTTCTTTCATACCACAACACCATGTCATCCACTGACCGCCTCTCCGCTTTTTCTAACCAGTCCCAGCGTCGGCAAATAATGCGCGACGTGGAATTCTTCTGGACGACATTCGTAGAACATGTCCAAGCCACCGAAGTCGGTGTTTCAGGATGGTGACACCAATTGCATTATCATCTCTGTGCCCGAACACACGGTGCCGAACCTCTGCATTACTAACATAGTGTTGCCACTGGATGTCAGCAATACTTCGGAGAAAACGATGATCGAGCACAGAGTTGTCTAACATCTTCAACTCGGAGACGCTAGGCTTCATAGGCAGTCCTAATGTCAAGAAACATTATGATTGTTGGCCTGTGATAAGTATGACGGTGTTCTAACATTTGGCGGAGGGTGAAGATATGATCAATACATCCTCGACCAGAACGAAAACCAGCCTGCTCCTCGCGAGTCAATCTTTCTCGGCTTTTGAACAACCTACGAAGTGTGACGGAAGCCAATAGCTTGGACGCAATCGGAAGTAGACTTATCCCCCGATAGTTAATACAGGAAAGACGTGAACCCTTTTTAAAGATAGGGACAACTATCGACTCATTCCATGATGTTGGGACACTCTCTAGCTCCCAGACCTTTGTAAACAACGTTGCAGTTCCTTAACCAGAAAGTCACTATCATCTTTAAAATAGGGCAGGAGGTTAGTCATCTGAACCTGATGATTTGTAGCGCTCCAAGATTTGGGGTTCCTTGAGGACTCCCGCCTTGTTAGGTGGATTAGTCGTCACAGGGTATGGAGAGCAGGGCAGTTTGATCGATTTTGCCGCAGCAACAGATCAGCTGAACTGTCTCTCGAAAAACTCTGCTCATCGTCCAGGACGTCGGTGGATGCTAGTGATTGGCATCCCGTCATCTTCACAGATTGTTTCGCTCACACCAGACTTCTTGCTGCCAGTGGCTCGGATGAGTTGGAAGAGTTTCCGGTAGTTACCAGATGCAGCTGCTGCTCCCAACTAATTGTCACTCTCCGACCATCAGGCTTCTCGATCCTTACGCAAGCTTTGCCTAATTTAATTGCGTAACAGTCTTCGTTCATGGTCAATTTCAAGGTCACTCGGAGTATACCGTCGGGATTCAGTGAGTTGTAAGGAGCCTGAAGGAACCCAGTGCTTATAAGGGTGAAATTTCGCGAATTCACAAGCGACTTAAATCGCCATTTTCATGGCGTCATGCGATTGCAACCAGTGCTCATCTATACTTTCTGATGGTATGGTAGCTAACCTTGGACCTAGCTCGGTTTGATATATAGTTGCAACATAAGCCGCAATCAACTTGCTGACATCAATCCGTTGATGGAGGTCACTTCGTCGTCCACTGAAAAGTAAAGTGAGATTGGCACAGACCAGGGCATGATCAGAGTTCAAATAGATACTCCAAAAGGAGCGGCAGTCTTGTACACAACCACGCCAGGTGGCACATCGGCGATGACTGTGTCACAAGTTAGTGCTAGCCAGAAACAGGTTGTGGTCTGTGCACAGTTGCAGTAGACGGTCCCCGTCATCTGTCCTGCGACCAACAATTCCCCATCGGCCACCTAAACGACTCTCTTCTGTGCCTAGACGCCCGACCTGAGCATTCAAGTCTCTGACTAGTACTACAATATCTGTCGAACGCACTTTCTGGAGAAGAACAGTTAACTGGTAGTGGAATTCACCCTTGATTGCATCCAGGCTGCAATCTGTCGGAGCGTAGGCGGAGCTGACGAAAAGACATCGTTTCTCACACCAATTTCTTCGCACTTTAATGAAACTTTGTGGTGTAACAGCACATGACCAACTGTTAATGGGGGTCCAATTGATTAGTGCTGCCTCAGCGACACCAACACCAGCAAGACCAGACGAAAATGCCACAGGGTCCCCGGGCAAACATATGAGAAATACGCTTTTCGAAACGACAGATGGAGAATGGGTTTGCGGTACTTCACTAGAGTATTGAATACGGGTCTTGGATAGACAACAAACATCGATATTAAGACTTTCCAAAGACGTAGCCAGCCCTATCTGTTGTCTGACCTGCATAAGTATGCGAACGTTGGAGGCAGTCCGTTTGAATGGTGCACGTTGTTTCGGAAAAACTGCTTCAGTATTCGTATTTGGTGGTAGCATACAATTTTCAACCAGGCAGTGACTCGAGAACGTTAGATAGAGCCGAATTTCCACCATAGGCAAGCTGCTGTATAAATCGAAAAATAAGAATACACAGAGTGGGAATAAAAGAGATTGAATAAGTGACGTAGTAAATAATAATAATAGTGTGAATTGTTTGACTGTAAATCGAAGCGAGAATAGAGTTTTCAGTAAATATCATCATTTTCATTATATTTGTGTGTGGGCTGTGATACTGCCCGGGTGCCCAGACCGAAGCAGGTAAAGTACTGAGCCCGACGTGAAGAAAAAATAGATTATTAAGGTTTAGTGATTAATTTTATCAACTGTTTGTTTAGTGGTGAGAACCATGAAAATTCTAGTACCTGCTACCGAATTTTACCAACGGACCAATAACTTATTGATTCCTGACCACCCTAATAAGTTTGACACTTGAGTACGTAAATATATACTTGCTGAATAAGTTACGCTATAATATGTTCAAAACAACTCGTAGAACGTCTCTTATGAGATGTTTAGATGTAGTGTATTAAATATATCAACATTAAAATAAATGTTGAGAGCATGACAAGGACGATAAGCTTTATTACTTTTTAAAGCATCACATTCTTTAAATTAACGTGATACAAGAAATTTACAACTATACTAATCTCGAATTTTAAACTGATTATATTCAAAATGCTACTCTGTGCTTTAAATTTCATTGGAGCGTATGAAAATATAACTTACCATATTATCAATGGCACTCATAGCATCTTCAACTTCTTCGAATTCAACAAAAGCGAAACCTCTGTGTTTTTCTAACAGGAAATGAAAACATAATGACATTTACCAGTTTGATAGTCCATGGGCATATTAATACTAACTATGTCTCCAAAAGGGATAAACGCCGCACGAACAAGAGGCACATCAACTTGCTCTGATAGTCCCCCTATTAAAAATTAACAATATTAGCTAAATAAATGAGAGCCTACCAACATATATAACACGCTTATTGACTGGATTGTATGAACCCGCAGGGAGCTGAAGGGGTGGTAATTCAGCCTAGAATAATGAAAAGTTACTTAAAGAAGTGAGTGAATCCGAGATTTAAAATCAAGAAGTCAAAGTACAACCAATTTTTATTTCAAAAAATCCGCATAATTTACAAGAAAATCACCACGGAAGCTGCATAGGTTGTGGATTATGCATATAACATATTATAAGTGCGCTGATGGACAACCTGAAAATGCCACCTATTAGTAACGAAAAGGAACATAATTACATGAAGCCACTGATCAGCTGTTTTGTATCTTCCCCAGTTCTTGAGTTGGCATACGTTATGAAAGCACAAACGACGGCTAACCAAGCAGCAAACTTCATCTACTAGCATAGACTCATATTTTCAACTTACTTCAAACAACAGTCCACACATGCTTAAGACTATTCCGAAAAAATTAAGATAGTCTATAGTTTGGTCTAGTGGAGGGGCATCCTGTGATAATGGAACGAATCTTAATGGTTTAATAAATTATCATAAAGACATACCTTCGAAGTTTATTGGGTCTCCTAGGATCTGATGCGGCTAACATATCTGGATTTTAGGATAGAAATACTTTTTACAAAGATATAAAATGTTGCAGTACAAAGAATAAACAGTTTCTGAAATGTAGTTATTTTATTTTATTTCAACACAGATATTGGTACAAAGAGGCACCAAATACATAGGCGCCATACAAATCTCATTCGATGTGTGAGGGGTGATACTGCCCGGGTACCCAAACCAAAGCAGGGGCCACCCCCCGAGCCTTTGACCTGAAGGTCTGATCTACAAGGCAGTGGAGCATCGTAAGGAGATGCAGTCTCATGGAAGCCGGTGACCAACAATTGGTTCATACGCCATTTGTTCCCGCAGGATACTGGAGCCCATGTGCACCACTGGTTTGGGATCCAGTTAAAGCGCCGGACATTCGCTTTCCGTCCTCTCATTTTCGTAAACAACACCCCCGCCACGAGAAGGCAGTGAGTAGGACTTCCCTGGCAGAGGCTATATACGCGTGGCCATGTGAGAGCATTTCGAGAGGGAGAGCGGACTCTCCCCACTCTCGGCCGTACCAGGGCATTTGGGGGCTCTGAAATGTAGTACTATATAATAAAAAGACTGTAAATGTATCAAGCAGGTTAAAATGATGTTCTAGATGTATTATAAGTGGTAAATTAGAAGAAACTTTGTGGAGCCACAAAGGTAGAACGAGTTGGAAAATATTAAACTAAACTTCTACGTAATTACCATGATGCGATAGTCATTAAATGTTGTTTTTGAGTTGCCTATATTCTAAAATTGTTTTAAAGTGTTTATCGTAAACCCTGTACCGAAGTCCTCCGAACGATTTCATAGCTCGTCGTTATATACATTTAAGAGTATTCCTATCTTTCTATAGTGCAGAAAAGTTTGCATAATCCAACTGGGTCTGCATAAAAATGTCAAGAATAAATGAGTTTTACCGTCAAATTGTTCGAAAATGCACTTCGATGTTGTTAATTCGAGGCTGTTTTAACGGCACTTTCGTCATAGCATATCCAATATCGCTGCGACAAGTAAGTGTAAATCAACTGATTTCTGTGAGATCACTACTCGGTGTTAAGTTACGGTTTCCAGACCTTTGGTATCCCCTGATGTGTTCTAACCACTTGGTTGCACTAACCGAAATGAATTCGATGATAATTTGGAGGTTGATGTCTCGAATCATCATTATGATTCATCATGTCCAACGTAAAACCTGGCATGATTCATTCGCCATATTACAATACAGCGACAAAACTACTTCAAAAACACTTGAGTAGTAGAAGCAGGAGCAGTAATAATACTAATAGAGAAGTTAGGTACAGAAAGATAAAAAAGTAGAATGAGATACTGGGATTCAGGTTTTAAAAGAAGACAAGGATTGAATGCACTATCATTGTGAACGATTGAGTCGTGTTACCTTCGAGTATAAATGAATGTGTTTGTCTCAGAGCAGTGAAGATACTAGAACCAACAGCCATCACGTTACAAAGAGGCAAACTAATTTCTTGTAACACGAAGGATTTCAAAACTAAAAAATAAAGGAGTAGAGGCGCCGAAGCAAACCAGTCAACTGAACTAGTGATTAAGGTAAGTAAGTATAAAAATATGTGAACGGAGTATGAAAGGGATGTGAAGAGGTAAAGTGGTATAGGGTGAGTACTAACAATAATAATCAGTAATAATAATTACGGATCAAGTGCAAGATATGAACGCTAATGAGTGCGAAACATCCATCCCCATCTTACCAAACGTTGTTCCACGCGAAAGACGGTGAACCCTTAGTATGTGCATATTTACAAAGTCTTCTCTCGAGATGCCTCAATGAGGGCTGTTGTCATACCCTTTGGAAGAGCGTCCCATGTAGCGCCGACCGGTAATGAAAAGAGTGATTTTATCTGGATGTTCGCTCTTTCATGTGTTATTTGTCTTGGGTTCCTTTAGAAAGTACAAAGGCGTTTCAGGAAGAATATTTCTATTTGGGGGATCCAGAATGCTTCGTACGTTACACACTCACCAGGTCGCCTACCAGTATTTAACCTAGACAGCACAACCCCAGATTGTGAAGTTGGTTCCAATTTTTTGTCACTTAAACTTACAAATAACGTCGCTGCATGCCATCGTACTCACTTCAGCCGATTCATTTTCTCCATGATGAAAAAGGGTGCAACAATTCTGGGAGGATGTAGGCCATGAATGGAGTCCAAGAGATCCCACGAGTCGGCACTTTTACCTGCCTTCAAATGAGGTGGAGAGTAACGAATGATTTGGTTGCATTGCGCTGATAATTTCTGGCGTCCAGACTTTCTGTTAGCAACAGACTAAGGTCGCTCTCTATTAAGTTTCTAGAGACGATGACTTCAAAGGGAGTAACTAGCCTGACTGTCTTTGATACGGGTATCGTTTGGCATTTTTAAAATGATTAGGAACATAACCATTCCCCGATTAACTAAGCTTCCAGAGGCTAATTATCCAAGTTATATGTGTAGTTTGCAAAACAGCAGCAATACATTACAATTTAGACCGATAGATAACGACAGATGTTGTAAAATGGTTAAAACAAATCCAAAAGTACAAATAATTAACAGCCAAGACCAAACATTGGTGATAATATTCTATGTAACGACAAGTTATAGACCTCACTCGTATATAACTTACTACAAGTCCGTGGACAATAATTGGGCAACGCTTAAGAGGTATCGTTCAGTGACGGAGGTTGCGAGCACTCGAAGGTCAAACCGTCGCAAGATGATTGGTGCGTCACATCTACAATTCGTGAAAATTTTCAGAAGCGGTCAAATCAATACATTTTTAGATTTGAGTTGAGTTCAGCCACACCATGTCTGATAACGTTCATTCTTCAAGTAACGAAGACGATGCCATCGTGATGATGCATGATTTAGGACGAATCTCCAATGATATTATGTTATCTCAAAGATTTACAAGTTGGGACAATTTTGAGACCTGTTTGAAAGAAGTACATAAGGTAATATGACTTCTGTGGTTAATAATAATTTTTTTACTATACGCATACTAAGTATGTTATGTCAGTATGCAAAAAGAACAGTGATGATCCAACTCTAAAGTACTTTTTCGTAAGATATGTCTGTACATATGGACGTAAATGCTGTTCGTCAGAGTCAGATGCTTGCGTCCAGGATGTAGATGATGATAGTAATCATCATTCTTCTTAATAGCATACAACTTCTAACTCGCCAACACAACCTAGACAAAGGAGACGACGTCGGTCATCTACGTATGCCTTACTTCAAATGAATTTACCCTTCAGGTCGAAATATTGCCATTGTCAATCTGGATTTTGGGTCCAGGCAGTAAATGGTGAGCTGAAAATCACCTCTATTAAAACCGTGAACAGAAGGATATATTTCTGTCGATCCATCGAGACGACAGTTGACGTCAAGTGAACGCTTATATTTAAGAACGTTTCAACTGAGTAATACACCAACTCGTAGCTTACGGCATATGCTTTCTTGGAAGTTCCATAAACAGCTTACCAAGGACGATGTCGCCAAAATGCGTTCACAGTTATACCCAGGTTGTTGAACTCACATTGTAATTAATTGAGTTTAGACGGTAAAAATATCAATGACATCTTACAGCGTGTTCAAGCGAACACTGAAGTAAAAGTATTCAATGAAAATGGGAACATATCTATGATTTGCTTCAGCCGCAGGGATTAAATAGCTGTCTACTACGCATTCCCAGAGGTAATGTGTATGGATTCGACTTATCAGACCAACAAAGTTGGGTAAGTTACGATTAGTAATAAATTTATCTTAAAGTTTTCCACTGTCCAGCTAGTGATGATTGATAGTCTTCGGCAAGGGCACAATGTTTTGTATGCTCTCGGCAGGCAAAAACGACTCGAAGATGTCGTAAAACTCTTGGAATGCTTTAAAGACATAATGTGCAGTACTTATGATACATACACTTCCACTATGGATTCGGCAGCGACCGAAATTTCAGCAGTGCAGTCTACGCACAGTCATTCTAACATAGTACTTTGTTCATTCCATGTCTTGGGGGCATTTTTCAGGGAGGTATGTGTTAGCTGTACAAAATATCTTCTGTAGTTCCGAAATCCTGATGTACGCAAATGCTTGGAACACCTTGTGAAGACTAGACGGTCTGACATATGAGCTTCGCTTTTCATAACGTACTATATTCAGATTTACTCAGAAGTACGAACATCTAGGAACCCATTTCACACGGGCGTATGATTACATAAAAGATTAATGGATTGCTCGGAAGTCAATGTGGGCTCGCTGTTACCGGCGACATGTATTAAGCCTGGGCAACCACACAAACAACCGTGTTGAAAGTGCTCATAAACACCTAAAAGAATGTCTCAGAAGAGGTGATTCTCTGCTATTGACGTTCTGGAGAATGTGGAGTAAAACAGACACTGACCAACATGACTCAGTCCACTTGTCAGTGACTTCATGGACTTGTGCCATGTTTTGTCTGGCTGCCCTTAGCTTTCTTCCAACCTACTCCCATACCACTGAACATCGCACGTCGGGGCAGTCGGTGGTTGGCCATACGTAACACGTCACAGCCATCTCAACTGATGAAGTCTCACTACGTCATCAATTGATTCGCCATCCTTACCTAGTACCCGTTTCCTAACAACTACGTTACTTACTCGATAGTTCCAGGATATACGAGCAATATTTCGAAGACACCTATGATCAAATACTAGTAACCTACGGATATCCTCTACTTTTACTGGCCATGCTTCACTGCCATAAAGTAGGACGGAACGAACTGCTACGCAGTAAACACGTCCTTTGGTTGATAGACGGATATCTTGCCCACGCTATGAATGACGCAAGTTGGTAAAAAGTAGTCGAGCCTTCTGTATCCGTGCTGAGATTTCGTCACACACCAGACCACAAGGGCTGACGAGACTTCCAAGATAAGTGAAGCGATCGACACGCTCAATTACTTCACTCCCTATCATTAGTTCGAGTGTCGATGCAATTTAGATGAGGAAAGTGTTATCACTAAAAGCATGTCTACGATAAAGTTAAACAAGAATGGAGAGAGTGGACAGCCCTGACGAACACCACTTGAGATAATCAATTCTGATGACAGTTCTCCATAAGCTTTCACTCTACCAGTTGTGTTCGAGTAGAGAGCCTATACAAGGTTAATGTACTTCTTTGGTACTCCTTTCAGTGACAAACACTGCCATAGAACCTCACGATCAACGGAGTCGAATGCTGCCTTAAGGTCGAGAAATACTACCATTGTGGGGCATCTGAATGTGTGTCTGTGTTCTAGAACCTGACGTAGTGTGAATATCTGCTCTATACAACCACGTCCAGGTCGAAAACCAGCCTGACTTTCTCTAGTCTGCTCTTCACGAGCTTTGGTTAGGCGTCGTAGAATTATTGAATCTAATATTTTAGACACTATATTTGTCAAACTGATTCCTCTGTGATTGTCACAAGAGGACTTTTGTCCTTTCCTATAGACTGGCACAATCAGTGATTGAGACCAGTCAGATGGGATTACGTCCAGTTCCCAAATTCTACCTAAGACCTCAGTTAATCTCACTGCTAATACTGGACCACCATCCTTAAAAATCTCAGGAGTAAACCTGTCAGGGCCTGCTGCTCTCCCTCGCTTCAGATTTCCTATAGCTTTTTCAGCTTCGTAAAGAGTCGAAGGACCTACATCAACTTGCCATTCAGGTAGACTGGAGATCGTGGGAAACCAAAGTGTGGCTGAAGGCCACTTGAACTGATCCCTAAAGTGTTCTGCCCACCGATCCAATCTCCTGGATCGAGAATGTATAATATATCCATCGATGGCGAGGGATTCTAAAGTCCTAGCATAGGAAGCCTGCTGTCCTATTTGGCAGAGTGTTCGGACGTTAAAAGCTCCTAAGTGTATTTTAGAGCGTGGTTTCAGGAGACCAGGAATAACGTTCCGCGTACTCGAATCGTTTGCCCTAGCGGTGCAAGGTGATAAAGAGTAGTGAGGAGGGTTAGTCATGGAGATAAGAGAGGTTTTCGGAGGTGTAGGAAGGATTTGAATGTGACCAACTTGGTCTCGTGTGCTGTTACGGGTATGAGGGCTGGTGTCACTTCCCGGCTGCCCACACTGTGGAAGGGTATTTCTTGAGGAACCTGAAAAGGAAATTGGATTAGTGTTGGTCTTGACGACCTGGGGGCGTGACCGCAGTGCCCAAGGGACAACTGCTTGAGGCCGGTCGCGCACGGCCTTTTTGTGGAAGGTTTTTGACGTGTTAGCTCCGTTCTTCAAAGGGCCTTACCGCCGGAGACGGAAATCCGTGAGGTAAGGTGAGGTGTGACATTTTTAGGGCCGACCTTTTCTAACCCCACCCCGCCTTGTGGGAAGGCAGCATCACTGCAGATGCTGGTTGTCCGAGGGAAACACCTTACTGCTGTCACACCTCTCTACAGTCCGCAGTACGACTTTGCCCCCAGACCTTGAGTTGCTGCTTTTGGTCTTACAGTTCTCCAATCGACCTGCCTGGCATGGTAGAACCTACAGGAACATATGTTCCATCCAATATAGGTCGGTTGGGTCATCACGATAGGCAAGCCCGACCACCGCGTCAAGGTAGCAGCTTCGGTCGGGTGATGATCTGCTAGAGAAGTTCACTAACAACTACCACTCAATCCATGCTCTCAGTGAACCTTCGGCTAGTAAACTCACCCGTTCATGCCTCGAAGCATCGGAAGACATATGAGCACAAGTGATAAGTTCAATCGGTGCTAATGATGAAGCTACAACGTCAGAATCCATTGTTAATACAGACCATAGCTATGCTTCTTGATAACAAGAAGTTCTAATATTGTAATCTTTTTAGTTTTACATAAATTCATTTATATGACCATTAACTTACTCTTACAGAGTAATGTCAGAGAGAGTATACTGTGAAGTCTTATTTGGCTGTTAGACAGGAATGTTGTTTCGCGTTCTTGTGTAATAATTACCAGTTTGGCACACACGCGACTAGTCATACATACCGTTTACCAAATGCTGCAACCTTGAACATGGTGTACCATACTAGTAGTTCGAATTTCGACCTGTCACGATAGATAAGCATTACCGTAATTAAAAGACTGATGCTTTATAAATGAAAACGTTTATTAAAGTTTAAATCTAGCACAAATGATCCATTTATAAATAAATTCTATTTCGTAGAAATTGTTCCCGTGAGGTCTGTGAACACATGCGAGGCCAGCTGGAAATAAGATAGACAGGAAATAGTTATTGCAGTATAAATGTTTACCAGAAACTAGTATAAAAACGGAAACCAATATTCAATTACAGATCGAAAGTGCATTTAGAACACACTTTCTTTGGATAGCCAACCACGCTTATTTCGTTTATCTCTTGCGTTGCTTAGTAAAGTCTGGGTCGCAACATACATGGATTGTATTATTTAATTCTTTGGACAGGTTACACTTCGGAAACTTAGACGATGAACATATTTAAAAACTACTGTGTGAACTTACTTTGAAACGTCCTGTGTAACCTGCAATTATTGATGCCTATTTTATTTTAGTCCCACGTAAGTTACGAGTAATTGTCATTTTCGGCATCAGCACGTAAGCTAGACAGGCCTTGGTTGACTTTCGAAGATCATCACATACGATCTCACACAATCTGGTCACCTGAGATCAAGATATCTTTGTGATCAAATCGTACTTTTCAATGTTTTCTCGTAACAGCGTTATATTAGTACTTATTTATGCTATTAGGTTTTTTGCAAGAATACCGGCAGCCAAAACATTGTAACTTTACACAAGAGGTAGTAAAGCTATCTTGGCTTGATCTCTGGTAAAATCTTTACATAATTACACCGCTTCCGCATGATTATGATTTATTTCCTGCAATATAATAATTTAATGGCTAATATATCTAACTGTAGAAGATTATATTAACACCTTGGTATGTGTTATTATCATCTACAGCATATATATAATATTTGCAACACTCAGGACACCTAACTTTTTTACTGTCAGCCTATTTCTGGCATGAAAGTCGAACAAAACAGTGAGAATTAGCCAAAATTGTGTTAAAGACGGGAAAAACGATAAATCTTACCATGGTATCGTTACTTGTAACGCAGTTTTGGTAGCCTTGACGACAATACAATTTTTATGACTAAATATGCTTGGATCATGCTATTTCATATAAGAACAAATGATTTGTCTACCATCAGTGTATATTTAGGTAGAAATGATTGCTAGTCTGCGATGCAAATACGAAAAAACTATTATAACAGCACCTGAATAATGAATTTTCAAGGACTTCGCGACAACATGTACCGCAAAATGGAAAAACCCCTTTTCACCTAATTATGAAAACAGAAAAAAAACTTTCAAATTTATTCATAATTAATTTCGAATTTTGGCTGTCCACAAAGCAGAAATGAAAAAGTAGCGCAAAATAGTGTCGCGATATTTTTGGAGCGCTGCCCTACAATTGGAGATGGACAACTGTAACGTGAACTTTCAATAGTCCGCCCTACCCAAACGGTTCAAATGGTTGCGGATGGAGTAGAAGAAGCTTTCGCTTAACGGGCTTCCGTGACTAGTAACAATGGATAATCAACACCTTCAGGCAGGAACATAAGTATATTAACGATAAAAGAAGAAAAAGAAATTGGTAAATCATAGTAAGATATTATCCTTAGCCCTTAAGAATAGATCAAGATCCCTCTTAAAGGACTCCTGGGTATTCACTTGGAATAGCCCAGACGGCGGCGAATTCCAGCATTTTACAACTCTTAAGGAGTAGAATTTGTGCTTACAGTCTGCTGTGCTATGTCGTATCTCTAGTTTCTGTGTGTTAACCCTTAGGTTTGTGTTGGAGCTAAACCTAAGTAGGTGTTTAAGGGATTTCCAAGGGTATCTAAGATACTGTGGGCCATTTGGTCACTTTTAAGACGCCCGTACTCTAATGGGTGAAAGTCTAGTGATCAAAGGCGTTCTTCATAGAGTTTGAATTTGAGTCCCCGGACTGATTTCGTGACCCCCCGTTGGATGCGCCCCAGTGTCCTTATATTTTTGGAGTGAAGGAGAAAATACTGTTCCCATACTGTAAATGAAGACTAATGACACTGTTGAAGACTATGTGGAAATGTCTCCCGTCAAACTGGCCGGAAATGCGCTTCAATGTTACCAGTGCAAGGTTTGCTCGAAAGGTGTTTTTGTCACAGTTAGCGTAAGACTTCAAATCTTGAGGTACTAGCACTTCTAAATGTTTTGCAACTTGGGATACTTCTAGAGAGGAGTTTTCTAAGTTGTAACTGTAGTCTTAAACATGTCTCAGATGGACTACTTTACACTTCAAAGTGTTAAAGGTGAGTCCGTTGTCATCTGCCCAACTTTGAAGTCGAGTCAGATCCTCCTGAAGTGAGGGCATATCTTCTTGGTTGCATATCTCTTCAAAGTTTCCCATGACAAGCAAAATGTAGTGAGTATGTCGACACCTGATGTGGAAGATCGTTTATATAAATCAAGAGATGAAAAGTCTCAGTACTGAACCCTCGTGGACACCACTAGGACATTCAATAGTCTGACAGAATGTCGATTTTTTAGATATGAAGCGAGCCGATCAATCAAATGTGACTTGATTGCAGTAAGAAATCCTGATGAGCATCCACATCAAGTTGAGGGTGAATTTGTAGAACTATGGTCTACTATGATATTAGTGCTGCTCTAATAATAGACCTAATCCTAAATTTGTAGATTTGTCATGATATCAAAACAAAATTTAAATACGTAAGTGATAATTATATGAGTTTAGGACAGATAGCTAAGAACAAATCGTTAAACATGAGTGTATTCGTAAGAGACATGCTCTAGACTCAATGTTCTGAGTTGCCATAGTCTATTTATACATATTTATACCTGACGGCTGATGACGCATACAAGTTAGTTGCAAGTATGCAGTTTATCATAAGGCGGAATACGATTTAATTGAGATATAGTGGTTATAAGTTATTGAAATCAGCTTATGTATCACATTACTAGGTGATGTGGTGTCGCAAGATGTATTTGGCTAAATAAGTTTTTACAAGATGATTAATAGTGAGTGATGCTCATGTGATTATCAGGGAGAACATAAGTTGTAACCAAGGGGAGTACACTCCCAACTCATGTCTATGATAATGGCTTGAACCTTAGTCAGTGTTGGGGTAAATTCGACATTGATGTTTTCAGTTTGCAGGAGATTTGCTCGACTGCTTATACTGATTATTTGCATGCATGATTGTGTCGCTAAACCATCAATTAGACTGACAAGGTTTTGAGATATTTACTGAATGAGCAACTGGTAAAGAAACATACTGTAATCATCTGTAGTGAATGAAGATAAAAGAAAAACAACACTAGTGATAATTATAAGTCAATTTGTTGACCGATTTTGTTAATAGTTTCATTAATTTTATCAATCATATTACGTGATTGTCAAGTCATGACAATGCTTTATGACGATATCCTGAAACTATTATGTTTAACTAGTTATAGTGTTGATTGAGGATTAGTCAGTGGAAAAATAGGTATTGTTGCTTTAGGTGATTCTAAATTATCAGAAATTTGTAACGTTAAAGAATCTGAGACGCCTAATTTAATTATAAATTTCAATTCAGAAAGATTCGTTTAGTGTTAATTTTAGTAGGCTGAGTTTTGACTTTAAACGTTTGTTTAGCAAACAGCTACCTGAGGATTTAGTTACTTTACTAGTGTGGTTGATAGTACCTTAATTTTTAATCTTATTATCTAAACTATGTCCGCATTTTAGGCTGCTAATATGATAAACCAATCTATAAACCCAAATGCGATTAGCAACAACAACTATGGGTTTATCGATAAATGTTAAAGGTGATTCAAATGATTTCTAAATTTAGAAGACATGAAGATATAGTGCAACGCATGTATGGGCCAGGTTAACATGCAGGTTGTTGACGTATATGACGATATAAAAATAATGAACATGACCAGAAAATAATCTTAAAGTTTAGACTGCTTGTGAAACTTCATGCAGGAATATGAAGAATTATAAATTTTCCAAAAGTTAGTGCATTTAGCCTAGGGACAATTACAAATATGTGGCAGAAGTAACTGGAAAATATATACATGTTAAGTTAAAAAAATCATTAAGTAAAATAGTTGAACTCGCCTGGATTATTTTTGAAAATTAGATTATTCAGTGGACGACAATATATAACGCCATTCGTGAGGAGTAGTAATGATCCAAAAGTATCCAGAATAAAACATGCAGTATGGCAATTAATTCCGGGAAGCTTGATGCTGTTGACGTTTTTGCCACTCGCTCGAATCAAAACAATTGAATGAATCCAGATACTGGTGTGGTCGCCATTGAACGAGTTATCTAAAATGACCTTATGATTGCAGAAAACTTTTGCTGAAACTTACCGTATGTTTTTGGAGTAGTGTCATCCCTGTTGTTTGGCAATAGAACTCGAAAATATGAAATTAGGCAGGCAGTGGTCGGAAGAAAAAACATTACAGGATAGTGCATAGTTCAAAACAGGATGAGATGTTAAGTGAAGGAACACTGAGTATTAGATCCAGATAACTATTCAATCCTTGATTGCATTGTTAGTCAATGTATATTTACACTATTAACAGGTCATATCTGCTAGAGCTTGATGTTTAAACAAGTCTATGTTGCTGAAGCAGGTAAATACTATTAAAGCTTGTTAACGAATCATCAAAGCTAATTAGTTACTATAGATGATCAACTTTTATCATCGATTGAACTAGTAAGTTATGTAAACTAATAGATATAACATTACGATAATATATGTGACCATTAATCAAAGGACTATTGGAATACTGGGTTTACAAAAATAAAAACCGATTGAGAAGGTTAAGGTGGAAATAAGGATTAACAATATTAGGTTGCGTTTCTTTAGTTGGGCTCACCAATGTAGTACTATGGTCTACTATGATATTAGTGCTGCTCTAATAATAGACCTAATCCTAAATTTGTAGATTTGTCATGATATAACTGCCTAATCTATAAGATCTTACGTGGAAGTCACACCATCGACTACGCCAACTCACTGTATCGTATCAATTACCAATACATGATGTAGAACAACGTGAAGCAAGAGAAGGAACAATATATTTAATACGAATAGAAGATATAAGATAACATTCAGATGGACCACGCCTGCATGGCCGAGCCATGCCATCCGATCAACTCCAGTCCATTCAATTCATTGTTCGCGCCTTCTCCATCGTTAGGTATTTATCCGCGTTAAATATTGAATATCTATTTTCTGAGTAGTCTCGCGTTCAGCTTTGTGGATTGTGCGGTTATTGTCCAATGCCACTACAAATTTCCCAATCCAAGTATTGCGAATTGTCCTGTTAAGCTGACACGTTCAACAATTTGAAAATCCAGCTCCTGTTCTTGGTGGGATGTCTTAGCTCAGTTTTGCTTATAAAACTAAAGGCTATGACGGCGTGATTTCTTCCACCAGGTGTATCAGGATTGAGGAGTTGTTATTTGAGAATTATTTGTTTGTTAATACATAGTCTAAGCGTGGCGACGTCTGATTGTTTCTCCAACGAGTTGCCAACCCCACATTTTTGAATAACCCCAGATCCTCAGTGAGGTCGAAGAACCGAGATTCAGTAGGGTTTCCACGTCCAATATACGTATGTTCTGCAAAATTGTCTTTAGGAAGACTGAAGTCCCCTAGAATCGGGATATGAGTGAATTCAAGAAGAGTGGAGCGGGATAATCCTCCCAGCATACGATTGTCGCACTCAATGTCAGCAGTGAGCTTCCTGTGGACGACTCCAACTGGACAACACCAGAACTTTCTGTGAACTCATAAAATGCGAGTATCTAACAGATTTTTAGTTACTTGCTTCAGCTACTCATATTGCCCACTCTCTCTTTTTATTTTGTAGGCAAAAGTTCTGGCCAGAACTTATCCGTCCGCTAAACTTTTAATTCTCTATAAAACAACATGTTCAATAACCCAATCAAGGATCGACAAGCAACCCTTTCAGGCTACCGCCAACTGTATTTATAAATTTACGTGTACCTGCCAAAGCAGCTACATCGGCCGAACTGAAAGGAGAGCATATCTTAGATTCTTTGAACATGTTCCCAAAAGTCTTAGAACAATGGAAAGAAAGACTCTGAACAGTGCAATCACCAAACATCTTGATACAAGACATACCTTACAATCCTTTAGGGTGATTAGTAAGCAGCCAAACTCCGGTCTTCTGAAGTTTGCTGAAGCCATTGCCATCAGGCGTCAAACACCTGACCTATGTATTCAAAAGGAGACGGTGGTTAATCTTTCCTTGCCCTGGTGACAAATATTCCTTCACTGCACCATAAAAAATTTTTTCTTTTTTCTTTTGCATTTATTACATCACTGACTGTTTTATTTTTTCAACTATCATTCAAATTAATAATCTTTCAACTGAACTCTACTCACTACATTCCTTCGATGTTATTCATTATATAATCGATTGTTTCTAACCCACTTTTGAACTGTTGTCACAATTAATGTTGTAGAATATTCTTTCACATTAGGTATATATTTACAATATTCAGTTAGCAATTTAAACCCATTATGTAATTATGATTTTTAAATATCACAGGTTGTAAGCAGCTGACGAGAACCTACGAAATAAATTGAATTCGTGCTATTCTGCTAGAATCTTTGTTCTTGCTCTTTTCAAAATGATAAAGGGAACTATGTGTATGGAATTCACTCTTCGTTCGTACGTACTTCATTCTTTTGTTCTGAATTAGGACCTTAGGGTGAACTTCATAGACCTTAAATCTTTCACAATTTCTTGATCTCGTGTTCAGTCTTCAGTGGTAAGGATAGAAAGTCTATCGACCTATATTAATCCTTGCAATTCTTAACATTGTCAAGGTCTACTATAGCTTTAAATGTATCGACAGAAGGAGCTGATATTAGTACTCTGGTGGAACATTCTAGTAATTCACTTTCCAGTAATCGAAACGGAACTGCATATGTAAACTGGCTGGTATCGTTTACGTTATAGTTTCTATTTTTATCAAGCAGTGACATACTTGAGGTGTTATATAATAGTTTTACAACGCACCGGACAACTAGTTTTGACAAGTGAATATCCAAACTAGTTCGATTTTCTGCTTGAATTAATTTCAGGTTTTGTTTCCTAACGGCATCAAAGTGGATATTTGGCGTAACGCGTGTGACCAGCGTTTACCGAAGTTCAGGAGTGATTCAAAATAGCATCACACAAGTCGTAATCGGTGAACAGGTAGAAATATAATCTACTACCGTATTAGTACTTCTCTAATAATAGACCTAATCCTAAAATTGTAGATTTTTCATGGTGTAACTACCTAATATATAAGATCTTACGTTGATGCCACATGATTTTTACCCCGACTCATTCGTATTGTAACAATCATCAGTATATGGTGAACATGTCTGGACTTGAGATAAACAATATATATAATATAGATGAAAGACTGTTGCATAAGTAGGATTGTAGTGGCATTGGACAATAGCCACACAGTCCACAAAGCTGTGAACACGAGACTACTCAGAAAATAGATATTCAATATTTAACGCGGAGAAATACCTAACAATAAAGAAGGCGTGAACAATGAATTGAATGGACTGGGTTTAATCGGATGGCATGGCTCGGCCATGCAGGCGTGGTCCATCTGAATGTTATCTTATATCTTCTATTCGAATTAAATATATTGTTCCTTCTCTAGCCTAACGTTGTTCTACATCATGTATTGGTAATTGATACGATACAGTGAGTTGGCGTAGTCGATGGTGTGACTTCCACGTAAGATCTTATAGATTAGGCAGTTATATCATGACAAATCTACAAATTTAGGATTAGGTCTATTATTAGAGCAGCACT